TCACCTCAGCCTCCCAAAGGCGCGGGATTACAGGCTGAGCCACCGAGCCCGGCCTCCTTTACACTTTAGAAATGTAGACTCTTCAGCCTGAAAGGGCCTAAGAGGTCATCTAGTCCAGGGACGGTTTTTATCTCCTGTGTCATTTCCACCTTTTGGTATTGACAACTAGAAAAACAGTACCGAGGAGGATTCTGAGGGCACCTCAGAGATCTGTGTAAAGAGTATCACGATCAGCCGGGCTTGGTGGCTCAGCCTGTAATCCCGCGCTTTGGGAGGCTGAGGTGAGTGAATTGCCTGAGCCCGCGGGTTCGAGACCCGCCTGGGCAGGTGAGACCTTATCTCTACAATAAATCAAAAAATTAGCTGGGCATGGTAGCGCACGTCTGTAATTCCAGCTACTTGGGAGGCTGAATTGGAAGGATCGCCGGAGCCCAGCAGGTCGAGGCTGCGGTGGCCGGAACAGCCACTGCACTCCAGTCTGGGCAACAGAGTGAGATTCCGACCCCCCAAAAAAAGAGTATCACGATCAACTAGTAATGTCTGCCATAGTCGTGGTAGTAGTGAGTGGTGGTCTGTGTGCCAAGCATTTGCTGTCTCTGATCTAGCCCATACTTCCATTCTCAACCCAGTCTTAGCCCTAGGTCAGTAGTCCAAGGCATTTCATTCTAGTTTGGGGCTGTTATTATAGAGCCCTTTCTTCAACCTCCTTGAAGCTTCTTTCAAAGATCCTAGTTCTAATCTGTGGAGTGACTCTGAATGAAACTGGCCCTTTATCCAGAAGCCCTTCAAGTGTTTGAAGGAAAAGAAAATGCCTTTCCTTTCTTTTCCCAGCCCTTCTCTGTTCCAGCCTCAATGCCCCACCCCAGTTAGCCCTCTTTCCTATGACAGGGTCACAGAGGTGAGATCAGAGACATCAAAAGCAGAAGGAACTCTGGAGACCAGCTCCATCTTGCTTGCTAACAAGAAGGAAAGGCAGGCCTGGGAGGTCACACGACCTGGGGTTCCCATTGCAGCTTCATGGCGGAACTGCACCAGTGCAGGGAACTTGGTACCTGATTTTCCCAGCTCTCCTTATGCCCAAGGCACCATTGCAGCTGGGGCAGTGCTCACAGATGAGCTCGGAAGGAATCCTGGTGTGCAGGGGAGAGTGCAGGGCACAGGCTGGCCACACTTCTTGTCCTTTGGCCTGCCCTCTTTCCCAACCCTGCGAGCAGGGGGAGCCTCACCTATGCCCTGCTCTTCAGTGGTTCCAAGGCTTTAGCTCCCAGCGTCCCACCCCAGAGGCCTGCTCCTCCTCCCAGATCCAGGACAGCTCCTTGGATACCTGCAGGGAAGCGGCAATCCAAGAAAGCAGCAAAGTCACTCTGCACCTGGGGCTTTGGAAATAAGCAGCGTTTTACTCCCCATGCTTACCCGACTCCCCCCAGAGTTTGTCGCCTTTTGGGTCTCTGACCCCAGCGGGTGGAAGTCTGTCCTCTAGGCTGGAGGAGCTGAGATCTGAGTCACTGTCACTGTCGCTGGAAACCACTGGAAAAGACAGACATGGGCACAGGAGGTCACCTTTACTGAACACTGCCAGCGGGCAGCTTGGACGGAGGGGGCCAGGGCAGGTCTCCCGCCATGACACAGGGGTGGAGAAGCTCAGCTGGCCCTCTTGTTTGGGGCATGAGAAAACAGTGACCCAGGGACGAGAGGGTGCTCCTTTCTGCCAGTCAGCGGTGATACCCAAGAACCAACACAGCAGGGAGGGTGCACCCCTTGGCCAGCCATCTCCACATGTCACCCCTCCCTGTGGCAGAACCAGAACCCTCTAGCTGTGGTAGAAGCTCTCACTGGGGTGCAGGCGCAGCGGCTCTGAGGCCTCCACTCGGTAACACAAAAGGCACAAGGCAACACTCAATGGTCACAAGAATGACGGTCACTGCTGACCCTTCTGGAGCATTCCAGGTGCTTTCCATAGATTAATGTATTGAAGCTTCAGAGTAACCCCGAAAGACAGGAAAGTCACTACCCACATTTCACAGGTGAGGAAACTGAGGCATACGCCCAAGGAAGTTAGTAAATGGAGGAGCCAGGATTCTAACCCCCGCAGGCTGACTCTGGTGTTCACAACCCTTTGACTGCCAGCAGGCCTGGTGCCCACCCCAGCTGGTCCAGCCCCTCTCCGTGGGGTCCTGTCTGTGGGGTCCTGTGACGGCAGAAGGAGCCAGACAGATGGGGCTGGAGTCCCGGCAAGGGGAGGGAGGCCACTCTCACAGCCAACAGTCACTGTGGCAGAAACTCATTTTTTTGGACTAAGTGGGACCACACTTGGCTGGCTGCTCAACAGCAAGAGTCATAATACAGGATATATTCATCCTTACACATTCTATTTTAATTTTAAACACAGAAATGTACATCCATTTGCCAATCTTTGGAATCCGGGCTTCGGTGCTTCTTGGAGACTGGGCCCAAACAGTCTTTCATGTATAAGCTGCATCCATATTGCCTTGTCTATGACTCCAGTCGCAGCTTTGTGAGTTGAAGCAGGAGCTTACAGACCCTGGCAAAGCAACGGGACTGCAGAGCCTTCCAGCTTTTCCATTTCTTCCTCTTGTTTTTTTTTAGAGTTGTCCTGCCCACTCTTAATTCAATACATTAATATATATATATATTTTGAGACACAGCCTCACTCTGTCATCCAGGTTGGAGTGCAGTGGCATGATCATGGCTCACTGCAGCCTTGAACTCCTGGGCTCAGGCAATCCTCCTGCCTCAGCTTCCTGAGTAACTGGGATTTCAGGTGCATGCCACCATGCCTGGTTTATTTAAAAATTTTTTTGTAGAGATGGGGGGGGGGTCTCACTTTGTTGCCCAGGCTGGTCTTGAACTCCTGGGCTCAAGCGATCCTCCTGCCTCAGCCTCCCAAAGCGCTGGGATTACAGGCATGTTCTACTGCACCTGGCCCTTCAAAATTTTTTTTTAAAGCAAGTGGCTTCTATCAAAACTTTCCAAAGTCTTGGTTTCCATGAAATAACTCTATCTCTTTTCTGACTTTTTTCACCAATGTATATAACATTTAAGTGAGTGATATAATTATAGTAACAATTATAACTAGCAGGGCATGGTGGCTCACACCTGTAATCCCAGCACTTTGGGAGGCCGAGGTGAGAGGACTGCCTGAGCCTAGGGGTTCGAGATCAGCCTGGGCAACTTAGTGAGACCTCACCTTTACAAAATCAAAAAATTAGCCAGGTGTGGTGGTGTGCACCTGCAGTCCCAGCTACTTGGCTGAAGTGGGAGGACTGCCTGAGCCCAGCAGGTTGAGGGTGCAGTGTGCCATGATCGTGTCACTGCACTCCAGCCTGGGTGATAGGGTGAAAACACAAACAAACAAAAAAACACAAGTAAAGCACACAGATAGGGTTGGAATCAAAGGTACCAGCTTTCACAGGTGACTAGCGCAGAGGATGGGGCAGGAGTCCAGGCTGCCCGTCAGTGTATCTATTTTGGGAAATGCAAAATGCTGGTTATGGCAGGAAGTCAGACGGGCTGGGCTCTTAGGCGAGGCACTGCACTGGGACTTGGTGACCACTCTCTCACTCAAGCCTCCAAATGACCTGAGCCATAGCACTCATTTGGTGGGAGACACAACTGGAAGCAGAATCGATCAAGACCAAAGTTGGCTAACAGGTTTCCTCTGATCCTCCCAAGCCCTCTCCGGAGCTGGAGCTGCGTGTGGAGAAGGACCTGAGACTCCAGGAAGGCTCAGCAGGAGGCACGCCTGGTCAGTTAGGGAAATCTACCATGGGCACGGGAGGGGGAGACGGTAGCTTCTGCCGGGATCCAGAGCCTTCTGGAAAATCTTCATTCCTTCAGACAACGACCCTGCTCAGCTAGGGGAGTCACAGGTCATGGCAACCAGAGGGGTGGAGCCGGCCACCTTTCGGCGCTAAGAGGTCTCAACACAGTGCTTCCCTGGCAGTGTGGCCAGCACATGGTAGAAGCTTCGTGAAGGTCTATGAGCAGGTGGCTCTTGCCTCTTCCTCGTCCTCACGTCCTGACAGTTTCACTGCTTGCGTCAGTCTCCTCCTCCCTTCGTCACTGGTCTTCTCTGACTTGAACTCCTGTGACAGTGCTCCACCCAGACCCCAGCCTGCAGGCATCTCCCTGCATGTTCTCCTCTGCACTGACAGGGTATGGGGGACGTTGGAGTGAAAACACAACACCCAGCTCAGCCCCCCTGAAAGGCTCCCTGCACCCCTGGGACCACACCAAACTCCTGCCCTCTGAGTGCCTCTCCAGCTACGTCCCACGTCACTGCTATCCCGCGCAGAGCCTCCGGCCCCACACAGCCCCAAAGTGCTTCCCTCTGCCCAGAATGCCCTGCCTTCCCCTCTTCTACTGGCTCAGCTCGGGCACCACCTCCTCCAGGAAGCCCAACCCCTTACCCATGCCCTAGCTGGCTGAATGTCCTGTGCTCTGCTACAACTGCACCAGCCACTTTCTGCTGTTTGTATGTCTGCTTCCTCCACCAGACCATGAGGCTCCTTGAGGGTGGGGACCAAATTGTGCCCACAAACGAGGCTGGTGTGGCTCTCCCATTTATGGCTCCAACCCACACGGTGGGGTAAGAGTGGTGAGCACATGGCTGGGCCTGGCGTCGGGCCTGGAGTTTCCTTCCTCCGTCTGCTCGGAGCCTGTGCCTTCCTCTGCTCTGGTTATTCCCCTCCCTGCCTACCAGGAAGAGCTCTACTTTGGCTTTCCGGGCTTTTGAGATGTAGCATCAAGAGGAGGTGGGACGGGGCACAGTTGAGTCCGTGTGCCCCCTTCATGGTACCTAAGAAATGCAAGCAAAAAATCCTGGCTTCTTGTGCAATTGCTGCTTTTCAGGTCCTGGCTTGAGCTGCTTTGCTCACGAATCCACTAAGACTGGACCCAATGGGTGCTGTCATATAAGCATTTACACAGTTTTGACTTGCTGCCGAAATACCAGCCTCGTGGGTCTCCTGGCAAAGGGATGGGAGGAGGTGGACATGAGGTAGGGATTCCTTTAGACACTGGAGCAAGTGGCTCCCCACGTCTCCCTGGGGCAGCTGCAGAGGGACTGGGGGACAGTGGCTAATCCTTCTGGGAGCAGGGGGCATGTCTGGCAGCCAGGTCGCTGTTGTGCTAAACAACGGGACAGTCCCTGTGGAGAGTGTGGTGATTGATCTCCATATTGGTTTCCTCATCTCCCCGGCAGAGATCTTTTTGGACAATCTATTCGTGCTTCCTGATGTGGCATGTCCCATCTCTCCCATGGCTGATATGCAAGCTGTATGCATTTCGGGACTGGAGGTGGTGCCGAACAATGCCTGGTCTTTGGTGCCAATGGGCAAATACCGAAGGGCTTGGAAGGAGACGAAGGTATGAGGTGTCCCAGGACTCAGGTCAGGGTGACAAGCTCGCTCATGCCATTTCTCTACGCTCTTCCTGGTTCTGTCATTTATCTTACATGGTCACCGTGGTGGGCTGGGAGTAGGCTAAAACTGCAAGACAGCTGTGCCAAGCTACATTGTGAGTCTCGCACAAAACGGCAATCTAGAGGTGTGGTTAGGGTACTACGTGGCTGTCTCCACGTGATGCCTGTGTGCACGATGGTTTAAAAAAAGTCTCCTTTTATAGACCCCAAAGGGTCACAGCCATGGAAAAGGGGGAACAGCCTAAGATGACAACTGAGCTCATGAAGGTGTCACAAAGGGACCAATCCGTCGGCAAGACAGGTTCACTTCTTGCAGACACATTTTCCCCTGGCTGCAGCATCTTGGCTCATTGTGTCCGGGACTTCAAGCTGGGGCTTACAGATCTTTGGGGGGCAGACCCAAATCCCATTTCTAATCCACCCTAATAAACCCCACTCGAAAGAAATAAACCAAAGGAAGTCAGCAGAGCCCACGCCGGGCCTTGGTACTTCCTGCTAGTGAGTGGGGAGGCACATGGAGAAGACCCCGTCGAGAGGCCCCGGCCCTGCGAATGCTGCATACTCAGATAGCCACAGCGCCCTCCGGCTGCAAAGGAAGAAGCCTTTTCTTCCTCCTCCCCTGAAATGTCACCATAGAACCCACACCTTGGCTGATTTGCCATTCGATTGCTGTCGCCACCTTTCTCCCTGCACAGAGCAGCTGTGATCGTCAATCTTCCAGGTCTATTAACAAAGCTTTTAGGCTCATAAATCTTTTGGCCCTGTTCTTCCACCCTCAGCAAAACACTCTGTGTGTCTGAAGACTGATATTTTTCCCCTCCTTCCTTTGAGTCCCCAAAGGCTGAGTCTGGGACGGCTCGTTGATGAGCCCTGTATTGTGCCCACGCCCGATTTTTCAGATGGAAGATGGGAGAACACCAGGGAGAAGCCCGTCCCCACAGCCTTTCGGAGAAAGGAGTATCAGATGGATTCACCCAAGCACCGCTGCGAGGTGGCGGGCAGGGGAGGAACTCCCCTCCTGGGCTCCCCCCACAGTGGCCTGGGCTGTTGGCAACCCTGAGGTCTCCCTATCATGGCCCAGAAG